ATATAAGCTCACCTGAACCACCCAAAAAAGCTCAAAAACCACCCAAAAAAGCTCACCTGAACCACCCAATCATATTGGTATTAGTTATTGCTCTCATTATAGTTAGTAGTTTGATTCATATTGACAATATTCCCGCCCTTACGTTCCATCTGTGTGTGACTTTGTGTTACCGGTTCTCTCTGCATGTTGTGGGACGGCTGAGCCTCACGTAGAGCGGTCAGAAGGTCGTTGGTTCCAAGAGGAAACCTCAGCGCTCATCGATCCTTCAACTCAAAGCTAATGCAACAAAATTCCTTAAAATAGAACCTTTATTATATAAAAATGCTTTTGATACAAAAAAAAATAGTCACAAAGTGTACATTACATAAAGCATTTTTAACTGAGACAACAAATACAGGTTTTAAGGAGTTTTTACTGACACAGTGGTTTGAGGCGGGGCCTACAGCCCTTAATATATAAATGAGTGCTGCTCAGAGTTCAGAGCACATAGAGATCCTCTCCAGGAATGTCCCTGTCTGAGGGTTTGACGGCATCACACGACAATGACATGAGAGGTTCCTGTGGACTTAAACTGTGATCCAAAGGCGACAGCAAGGCCAGTTTAGAGGAAGCTTGGCGTGTTCTCTCTTTTTTATACTGCTGTAACTCCACAGCCAGGGGGAAGAGTCTTCCTTTAATTCCTGGGAAATAATCTCTTTTCTTTTTTCTAAGTGCATAAAACGTCTTCCCACTTTTTGATACCAGGTCTTGTGCAGCTAATATTAAAACATAATGATATTAAGTGCTGGATTAACCCTGAAGACACAGTTTGTCTCCACCTATAGAATGATGGGAAAACAAGGACAACACGCTGCACCATGTAGTGAAAAACAGACCTGAAGCCTATTGAACCTTTGACTTTATGTTTGCAATGGCAACGTTTCTTTCTTTGGGAAGGCATTTAAACTTCACAGCGGTGTTTCATAGATAGGTTCACTCTACTGGAGGTGAGCAACTCAAGGCCTCGGTGTGCTTGTCGGACTGAGTGAGGTCCGGATCAGACGCAGCGTGCTTTAGCAGCCCGGTGCACCTTTTTGTACTGTTTTCAATGATTCAATGAAGTCTTCTGTGCGCTGGTATTGCGTTGCTGAGCACCTCGCGTCTTTGGCTCGAGTTGAAACAACTCAGAGCAGAAAAGCACCTGACGTCATCAGCATTTCTTCTCATTGAGGTGACGAGCTTTATGAGTTTACTGACCATGATCTGAACTTACAAACAGCAGGAGGCAAATTACTGCAGTACTTGATTGATAAACTGTTCTAATAACTATTCAGGTTGCGTCACATCCAGCAAAACCTACTAAAAATAATGTGAGTACTTTGTAGGTATCCCACGAATGGGCGGGGCCAACAAAGCTAGAAGCCATGCTGATGTTTTCGTCAGGTAACTTGTGTACTTCAGTAACAGCGCTTACGTTGTTGTTTTAACCCAAATGAAGATCTTTTCCTAAACCTAACTGAGTGGTTTTGTTGCCTAAACCTAAACTGTTGTGTCCTGTGAAGACGGAAGTTTATTTTGAAAAGACTGTATGCATGCAACGAGCGGACATTGACACATGTTGCTGGCATTCGTAGGAAAACACGAAAAATGAGGAGTAATCACACGGACCGTTGGGGATAAGTTGAACTATTAGGGAGCATACAGTTCATGGCTTGTGCTAAGCTAACGTTAGCACTCATTCCGGGGTTGCTCTAGCAAAAATTAAAAAAGGGAAAAAGACAGCGGAATACAAAAAAAGCTCTTTATGTTCGGGGCAACTAAATGTCCGTACAATGCGCCTTTTCCACCAGCAAAGCACTCTGTACGGTCAGCCAGGTGTGTTGATGACAGAACAACTGCAAATGCATCAGAAGCACACCAAGACCTTCAGTTTGATTTCTGCAACAGCTGTGAACTAAATGTCTCAGCTGGAACTCTTTCACTTTTCTAATCCCCCCCCGCCCCCCAAAAAGACTCCTTCAACCCCAAACACGGCGACCGACACAGACACGATGATCTACACACAAACAGAAATACGAATAACAAAAGTCGCTATAAGAATAATTTGTTATTAACTGTAAAATAGCTTCATGGTCTACTGTCAGTATGAGAGTGGTAATTTGGGGCTTTCGGTTTAATTATACGTCATAATAATAATAACTGATAAGAGTATGTACACGATAGCAGCAAACATACTTTTGGTAAACGGGACGATGAGGGTGAAGAAGACTCCACGGCAGAGGTTCAGATTCACTTCTCACAACTCAATCATTGACTTCATTACACATATGTACAATAGCTTTACACGTTGATATTCATTTGGTATGTTGTTGTGACATGGTGCTTTCATGGGAAATTAAAAGGAAGGACTGTTGGCAGATTAGTCTCTTGGTTGATTTGGGGAAAAGCTCCACCACTCCCCCCTGTGTTCAACGACTAAAGAATTCACAATTTGAAATGTGAGGGACACTATTCCAAAAAAAAAATATACAAAAAGTTTTCACACTTTGATCTTGGCCCTATTCCATCCGTCCGCTCGTTCATTCATACCGCCGCACATGACTGCGGTCATCATCTATTTTCTCTTTAATCCTACAACAGCTGTACCATCGTCACTCGTTCACGCACACGCATCCGTCTGTCCTAGGTTTTTCCGTGCGGAGCGGTGGATCAGCCAGCATGAATAAAATCGTAAAATAATTCCTCTCTGATTTATCTATCATTTTTAAAACTATATACAGTCCTGCCAACAAGGACGCTGTGAGGAAGGAGACGCTCTCACTCACTCGGTTGGTGCTGATGAGTTTTAGTGGAGGCCAGGAGCAGTTACTGTGAGTATGGACAGATGGAGTTCTTTTGATGGAGAAGTGAGGCAAAGGAGGTTTCCCTCTTTTGATGATATGAAAATCTAAGAGGGAGCTGCTGGCCGTGTTCACACATCGTCTCCTCCTTTGTGCCCTGCGGTGAGGCAACCTGCCACGACTAAGTGAGAGCAGAACACGTGGTAGAACTGATCCGATGCCGGTCACCCTGAGAGCTCCGAGGGGACTGGAATGATGAGATGACCGATGCGGGGACTTAGGGGACCTTGAGCAAGGCACTTGAGTCGAACCAGCTGAAACAAAAGCAGCGAGTGTGAGCCGGTCAGGGCTGGAAGTTGGCACGTGAGTTCTTTCCCTGGTAAAGTGGGGGCCAGACGAGGCCGGTTCTTTGTAGCGAGCGGACTGCATCCTTCCTCACGGGGATACGGGGGCCGTTGGGAGGGGTCACGAGGAGTCGGTGCAGGGCGAGGGGGGCGGGGGGCACAGGTGGAAGTAGGAGCGCTCGGTGGACGGGGACGGGGGGCAGCTCTCCTCGGCCGACAGGTACTGGGAGCGGGGCGTGGGGGGTGGAGGGTAGGGGTCCGAGTCCGAGTTCAGGTCCATATAGTACTTGTTGTGTTTGCCGTGGCCGCCGTGGCCCGCGGCCTTCCAGCGGCCCGCCGATGACGCCGGCCCGGCCGGCGGGTGGTGGGGGGTGTAGTCGCTGTCGCAGACGTCGGTGCTGCAGGGAGTGGTGGGCGGGGCGGCACCGCGGACCGGGTGGTAGGGTCTTATGGGAAGGAGACAGTTTGTTTAGATCACGGTTCAGGTTCACTTTTACGTCACAGTCGCACACACACACGTGGTGTGAAAGATCTTCAGCGTGAGTTAAGAAGACATAAAGCTCGCAGTTTGTTACAACTCCAAGTCCAAAATAAGCCGTGGAGGAGCAATCTTAAAAACATTTGGAACAACCAACTTCATCAGACACTTATTAAACTGTAATTCAGTCACAGTGACCGGCTCGTCAGCACAGAGCTGAACAGGTAACGCTGACGAAGGTCGCATTGACTTGCATTATGATGCGTTGAAGCTCTACCCAGTACAATTTGGGCAAGAAACTTGAATAAATCAAGTTGTTTGAAGGAGCTGTTGTCACAGCAAAATAAAATAGATATTAGAGATGGACTTCTGGTGTTTAACTTCCTGATAATAGCTCGAAGCAGCTTATAATACATCATTGAAACAACTAATGCCTAGATTTCTTTTAATCAGAGCAAATATAAAAAAATGAAATACAATCATTTATTTCCTCATCCTTAACGCGTTTCTTATCAATCACTGTGTGTTTTAATAATAAAGACGTTGGGACGGTTTAAGTAATTTTTCAGGACGGAGGTGAAAAAAGTTTGCCTGGAGCCTTATAGTACTGAGAAGAAAAAAAAATCGAAATCAGCAAAAATCGTAATGGGCAGGTCAGAAAAACCGGGAATCGGCGCATCTCTACTTCTATTGCATTTCATCTGTATTTGAACTCCCCTTTCAGAGGTTTCTTTTTTTCTATAGCAATCAAAAACATACCTCAACTATAGCTGTGTTCACCTGGAGCCATCGTATGATAATATGATTAAGATCTCAATCTTAGTGTCTCGTGTGAACACATCAATCAGAATAAATTGGCTCAAATGAATCTGTGCATCATTTTAGACACATTTTTTTGGGGGTCTTTGAAAAATCCAGGATCTCCACAAGAATTGAATAGTTCTGTGGAATTGTTTGACTGGACAGCATGGGTTGCAGCCATAACCCAGCAGTGGACAACAATAGAGCCAGAAGAGTGTGTGTGAGACGGAGTGAGTGTGTGTTACCTGTATGATCTGGTGGTGGACGGACTGTTGGAGGAGTAGAAGATCTCTGTGTTGTAGAGAGAGCGGTCAGTAGCCGGGGACGGAGGAGGGTTCAGGATCTGCAGACAGAAATTATCCCTGTGTTATCTGACTGTGGACAGGAAACAGTGTGCACACAGACTGCACACAGACTGTGTGTGTATGTGTACTTGTACTTGCTACATAGAGAGGACCACCAGTTTTTTACCAACACAGTGAGGACATTTCTTAAAATTTGGTTGGTTCTCCCTTTTTCAAAGGCCCGTTTGAGGGTTAAGACTTGGTGTTAAGATTCAAGTTAGAAATAGGTTTAGGTTAGGGTGAGGGTAAGATTGGGGGTCAGGCATTTAGTCTTCATGGTTATGGTAAGGGGCTAGGAAATGTTTTAAATTAATGAGGGTCCTCATAAATGTAGAAGTACAAGGATAAGGATATGTGTGTGTGTGTGTGTGTGTGTGTTTTTGTGGACCTGGGGGTAGAAGGCTCCCTTGGTAGATGATGAGCTGCTGGACGAGGCTCCGGTCACATGGTTCCTGTCATACAGAGGAGCTCCACTGCTGCTGCTGCCCATCAGGCTGACTGAGCTCATCATGGACTTCCCACAGGAAATACCTGCACACAGCAGTTCACACTTTACTAATACCGTAGGGCTGGGAAAATAGTAAATATATATTATCTCAATATTTTCATATTTTCCTTCTAAATATAATTTTCTTCTTTTTATATGTATTCTTTATTATGAAGTTTGGCTAATCATTTACATAATTGAGTCCATTTCTCTCTGAAATACAGCTTACAGGCAGTAGTATATATATATATATATATATATATATATATATATATATATATATATATATA